CCAAGACAATGCCCCTAAAACAGGCAGGAGTAACAATATTTATACCAGATAAAGTAGACTTCAAACCTACATTGGTCAAACAAGATAAAGAAGGACACTCCATACTAATAAAAGGAGCAATACATCAAAAGGAAATAACAATTATCAGCCTATATGCACCCAATACCTGTACACTCAATTTCATCAAATATACACTAAAAGACTTAAAAGCACAATGGTAGTGGAATGATCTGTCTATCACCAATAGACAGATCATCCACACAAAAACTCAACAAAGAAACCCTAGACCTAAATGACACCATAAACCAAACGGACCTAACTGATGTCTACAGACTATTTCATCCAACAATAGCACAATATACATTCTTCTCAGCAGCCCAAGGAACTTTCTCCAAAATTGATCATATCTTAGGGCACAAAGCAAGCCTCAGCAAATTAAAGAAAACAGAAATAAATAACCCAATGTATTCTATCTGATCACAATGCATTAATACTAGAACTCAAAAATTGAGTTGAATAACTCAATAATTGGAGGCTGAATAACACATTGCTCAACAATCACTTGGTCACAGAAGAAATAAGAGAGGAAATCAAAAGGTTCCTGCAAGGTAATAAAAATGAAAACACCACCTACCAGAACCTATGGGACACAGCAAAGGCAGTTCTAAGAGGAAAGTTTATAGCCATGAATGCATATATCAAAAGGACAGAAAGAACTCAAATAAATGATCTAATGTTACATCTCAAACTCCTAGAAAAGCAAGAGCAAGCAAAACCCAAAACAAGAAGGAGATAAGTAATAAAAAATAAGGGCTGACATTAATGAAATATAGACCAAAAAAAAACATACAAATAATCAACAAAACAAAAAGGTGGTTCTTTGAAAAAATAAACAAGATTGACAAGCCCCTGGCAAATGTGACTAAAATGAGGAAGGGAAAGAACCAAATTAGCAAAATCAGAAACAAAAATCAGGAGATAACAACAAACACCACAGGAAATCATCAGAGACTACTTTGAGAAACTGTATTCCAATAAATTGGAAAATCTTGAAGAAATGGACAATTTTCTAGATACTTATGATCACCTAAAACTGAACCAAGAGGATATTAACCACCTAAACAGATCTGTAACATGTAATGAAATCGAAGCAGTGAAGCAGCAATAAAGAGTCTCCCCAAAAACATAATTCCAGGACCTGATGGATTATTAGCTGAATTCTACCAGATTTCCAAAATGAACTAATACAAACACTCCTTAAACTTTTCCACAAAATAGAAAGGGAAGGAACACTGACTAACTCATTCTATGAAGCCAGTATTACACACCCCAAAACCAGACAAGGACATATCCACAAAGGAGAACTACAGGCCAATCTCTTTATAAACATCAATGCAAAAATCCTCAATAAAATAATGGCAAATCAAATCCAACAACACATCAGAAAGATCATCCACCGTGACCATGTCAGCTTCATCCCAGGGATGCAGGGATGGTTCAATGTATGCAAAGCAATAAATGTAATACAGAACATTAATAGAAGCAAAGACAAAAACCACTTGATCATCTCAATAGATGCAGAAAAAGCCTCTGATAAGATTCAACACCACTTCATGATAAAAGCTCTAAGAAAACTAGGAATAGAAGTAATGTACCTCAACATTATAAAAGCTGTATATGACAGATCTATAGCCAACATCATACTTAATGGGGAAAAACTGAAAGCATTTCCCCTAAAGTCAAGAATGAGACAAGAATGCCCACTCTCCCCACTCCTATTTAACATAGTCTTAGAATTCCTAGCCAGAGCATTAAGGCAAGAAGAAATAAAAGGAATACAAATAGATAAAGAAATAGTCAAAGTATTTCTATTTGCAGATGGTATGATCTTATACCTCAAGACCCAAAAAACTCCACCCAAAAACTCCCAGACATCATAAACAGCTTCAGCAATGTAGCAAGACACAAAATCAACTTACAAAAATCCATAGCGTTTTCATGCACCAACAAAGAACAAACTGAGAAAGAATATAGGAAAACAATTCCATTTACCATAGCCTCAACTCCCCCCCTCCAAATATCTAGGAGTAAACTTAACAAAGGATATAAATGACCTCTACAAGGAGAACTACAAACCACTGAAGAAAGAGATCAAGAAAGACTACAGAAGATGGAAAGATCTCCCATGTTCATGGATTGGCAGAATCAGCATAATAAAAATGGCTATACTACCAAAAGCAACCTACATTTTCAATATAATTCCCACGAAAATCCCAATGACATTCACCACAGAGATTGAAAATCTACCATAGAGTTCATCTAGAAACATAAAAGACCACGAATAGCCAAGGCAATACTGAGCAAAAATAGCAGTGCTGGAGGTATCACAATACCTGACTTCAAACTATACTACAGAGCCACAGCAATAAAAACAGCATGGTACTGGCACAAAAACAGATATGAAGATCAGCAGAACAGAACAGAGGACCTGGATATGAATCCACACAGCTATAACAACCTTATTTTTGACAAAGTTGTCAAAAACATACAATAAAGAAAAGACAGCTTCTTCCATAAATGTTGCTGGGAAAAGGGTTATCTACCTGCATAAAACTGAAACTAGATCCATGCCTGTCACCCTGTACTAGTATTAACTAAGTGGATTATGGACCTTAATAACAGACCTGAAACCTTGCAGTTAGAACAGGAAAGAGCAGGGAATACTCTGGAAGCAATAGGTATAGACAAGGACTTCCTCAGTAGAACTCCAGCAGCCCAGCAAGTAAGAGAAAGGATGGACAAATAAGACTACATGAAACTAAAAAGCTTCTGCACAAAAGGAATGGTCTCTAAACTGAAGAGATCACCCACAGAGTGGGTGGTAAAAATATTTGCTAGATATACATCAGACAAAGGACTGATAACCAGAATATATAGGAGTTCAAAAAACTAAACTCTCCCAAAATTAATGAACCAATAAAGAAGTGGGCAACTGAACTAAACAGAATTTTTTTCAAATGAAGAAGTACAAATGAACAAAAACACATGAAAAAATGCTCACCATCCCTGCCCATAAAGGAAATGCAAATCAAAACCACACTAAGATTCCATGTTACTCCTGTTAGCATACGGGACAACACCAACACCACCAACAACAAATGTTGGCGAGGATGCAGGGCAAAAGAAACCCCCATACACTGCTGGTGGGAATGTAAGCTAGTAAAACCACTTTGGAAAACAATATGGAGGCTTCTTATAAAACTAAACCTAGATCTGCCAAATGATCCAGCAATACCACTCCTAGGGATATACCCGAAGGAATGTGACTCAAGTTATTACAAAGGAACCTGCTCACCCATGTTTATTGCAGCACTATTCACAGTAGCCAAGCTATAGAAACAGCCAAGATGCCCCACTACTGACAAATGGATTAAGAACATGTAGTATTTATACACAATGGAATTTTACTCAGCCAAAAAGAAGAATGAAATTTTGTCATTCGCAAGTAAATGGATGGAACTGGAGAGTATCATCATAAGCAAAGTTAGCCAGGCTCAGAAGGCCAAAAATCACATGTTCTCCCTCATATGCGGATTATAGACCTAAACAAATGCAGCATATTATGGGACACAGGTCACACTAAGGGGAGAACATCATCTTAAGCAAAGTTAGCCAGGCTCAGAAGGCCAAAAATTTTATGTTCTCCCTTATATGGGGATTATAAAACGAATGCAGTAATATTATTGGACATGGGTCACACACTAAGGGGAGAACACACACGGGAGGAATAGGGAAAGGGAAGGAAACCTAATACTTGAATGTGGTTGATGTGTGCACTGTAGAGGAGTGAATATAGTAATCTTAAACTGGCAGAGGCCACTATGGAAAGGGTACCAGGAAGTAGTGAAGAAGTCTGGCAGAGATGAACCAATGTGGGTTGCGATACACATGTGCATGGAAGCAACACTAGGAATCTCTTTTTACAGATATCTTTATCCCAAACTAGCAAAAATGCTATGTCCACAAAGTGGACTGTTTAGGGAAAAAGTTGTTTTTAATTGGGACTTGCTTAACTCAATGTATAAAAAGTATTGTATAGTAGCATCTCTCTTTAAAAAAACATATTTTGAGTTTCAGAACATCAGCAATACCAGGGAAAAATTACAGTTCTTAATCTTTAAATAATAGGTATGTATATCAAAACTAAACATTTTTTAAAAATCTCACACTACAAAAAAACTAAAATGGATTTGTGTGCTATGCTCAATATTTAATTATAAAAATGATGCTAAATTGATATTTTTAAAGTTTTCTTTATAGGTGGTAATAAATTAAATCACTGGAATGCAATAGGCAAAATCTAATCAGTAGGAAAATATAAAGGGAAATGCCCAGATAACTTTAATAACTTAATTGGTTTTATTTAAATCATAACTGGACTAATCTTCAAGCATAAATATCTGTGGAACATGAATACTAAATATTTGATAATATTAAGAATTATTGCTAATTTTTCAGTTTGATAACAGTACTGTAGTTATGTTAAACAAAGAGTAATTATCTTTTAGATATACATATTCATATACTTACAAATGAAAATATAAATACCTTGAGTTTGCTTCAAATTGATCTAAGATGGTAAGTGATAGTACAAACAAGAATGCCATGAGTTGACTGTTACTAAGCTGGTGATAAAGCCATGAGCATTCATTACTTTTATATATGTTTAAGACTTTACATAATAAAAATTAGAAATAAATTTTCCAGATAAAGGAAACTTTACGATCAATAATTTTAGAGAAGGTAACTGACTGCAGATAAAGCAGATAAAGTGGTTTGGAAAAATTAAAACCCAGCTGACCATTCTAAAGTCATTACTCCAAAATGATTCATTTCATGGAGAAATTCAATAAAACGAAACGACATCACATGTTAGGACACACGAAGGAATAAAGAGAAAGTTCAAACATTCAAGTAAAGGCAATTTCTAACATTTTTACCTTGAGCTCCAGCCTTGTCATATTTGCCTGGCATCGATAAGTGGCAAGAAGAAAGTTGTCATTTGACTAGGAAGAATTCAAAGTTGAAGAAAAGGATAAATCCATGTTAACAACAAAAGCATCATCAGTAATAATGTTTACCATTGACTTGAATACTTAACGTTTGTGCTAAGTGCTTTCCAAACATGTTTTCCTTTACTTCTACAACTTTATGCACTAAGTTTACAAGGAAGCTTTTCAGATGAAGAAACTGAGGTTATGAGGGGTTAGGTGAACTTCCTCAAAGGTAGTTACTTATGAAACTGGAATTCATATTTGTAGCTATAATACCTATAGCTCATGCTTTTTCCACCTTGTTTTTTTACAAAAACATTTATAAATATTATGAGTTATTCTAAAATTGTAACTAACAATGCGAATGCCAAATGTTTACATTATAAAGGCATTAATGTTTGAAGTTGAATGTCTTTAATTTTCACAAATACAGAGTAAAGAGGAATATCTTATCTCTATACTCCCAGCAAACAGCACAATGCCTAGTAAACTGTAGGCACTAAATACATGTTTATTGAATTGAATTGGAGAGGTTCCTCTAAATATTATGATTACTTGAAATTGAATATTAAAATATTAAAAATAGGAAAATGTGTCTAGGTGCATGAATTACAAAAAAAGACAAAGCAGTATAAAATATTTTTATATGCAATTTTCATGTAATGGTATTTCCCCATTTTTAATAAATAGTCAAAAAAATAAAAAGGATGCTGATATCAGAAAGAATGTTCAAACATAATTTCAAATAATTTAAACTCAACAAATAGGGAAGATGGATCACACTTAAAAATAAATGAACTCTTATGAAAATCAAACATTATATGTTGAAGTATTTATGGATAAAATTATACTGATAAAAAGAAATATGTTTAGAAGCAAAAAAGGAGAAGGTGAAGAGCCACCTGTCAAAAATCAGTGATGGGCACGTAGACATTATTATTCTTGTCTTTCTACTTTGGTCTATATTTGAAATCTCCATAATAAGTTTTCTGTTTTAAGAAGCTACTGTCCTAGAAATAGGTTTTAAATCTGTATAAAATAGTCAGTATACAATTCTGCAGTGATATAAATGAAATAGCTTAATTTTTCATAGTAACTTACACATCAAAAATTTTAAGTTTATGACCAAGTGCTGGTGATTCACACCTGTAATCCTATTTACTTGGGAGGCTGAGATTTAGAGGATCACGGATTGAGACCAGCCCTAACAAACAGTTTGCGAAAACCTATCTCCAAAATAACCTGAGCAAAATGGACTGGAAGTATGGCTCAGGCACTAGTGGCACTGTTTTGGAAGCATGAAGCCCTGAGCTCAAACCCTAATCCCATCAAAAAAAAAAATAAATAAAGTTTATGCTAATTTGTTTTTTTTTCTTTTTTTCCTTTTGCTAATTTGATTTTTTAAATGATCAAACAAATACAAGCTCTATGTTTTACCCTCAAACAGGGATGACAAACCATATATGATAACATAAACAACAACCATAACTTTTTCTCTTAATGAAAAGAAAATGCTTACTATGAAACTATAATCTATATAAGTCCCTCATATAGATATCAACCTTTTTCTTCATCCATTCTTTTATTCCTCCCTCTCCCCTACATTT